ATACCAGTTATGAATCAGGCTATTTCTCATTTATTCCCGTTTGACATTGATGAAGTTTTGGAGAGTTTTTACATAGTATAGCCATATTTTGGCATGCATTTAAGAGTTAGACACAATTTAAGGATTACTTAAATGATTCAGATTACGAGATTGTGGTCGTCATGACTCTTTAGTTCATAGACAGAAGTGGCTTTCAGTAGAATTTTGGAACGAGAGTAGCCTTGGCTTGTAAGCTGTAAATCAGGGAGAAAAGAATTTCAAGAACAAGGAGAGGATTTCCTTTGTATGTTAGTCTTCTCGACATGTTCCAATATTATGGAGTGTTGGAGGAATTTATTGAGCAGATAACATTATGTTATAGAAACGAGAGATTTGAAGAGAGAGGATGTCGAGGATACATTCCTTTTGATTTGCATTGGGGAGATTACCTTTAAAGTATGACTAATTTGAAAAGAGAAAATGCATAAAGACCCCATTCAACTTGTCCTAGAAAATCATTTACACACCTAAATTTTATGGGTGTCCTAACACACCACTATTGTTTAAAGAATTGTATTTATTTACTCCCTCCTAAGCCCTAGCCCAACTATAATAACTTGAGTGGGAAACACGCGCTTTTATTATGAAGCCACGTAATTAAATTCTTCAGTAAATAAACATAACAGCCTTCAAAACTCTCATTCACCCGTTAACCCCCTTAGTAAAAAATTCCAAAATTGAAGAACCCTAATGCCCCACCTTCAAAGATTCGTTTTGCCTCATCAAAATCAATTTGCCTGACCAAAATCGAAGGGACCTATTGCAAAATCCTTCGATTTCGTTGTTCCTTAGGGTTCCGTTTGTTCTCAATTGTTTCATTTGACGAGATGGTGGAAGACCCGTTCGAAGTTGAAGGTCTTTGAAGAATCAAGTTCAAACGTTATCTTTGTTTTAGTTTGGAGGTAAATACATCAACCCTAGCCTTTTCTATCATCATCCCTAAATGTTATCTCTATTTTAGTTTGTTTAATATCATCCGTATCTAGGGTTTTGGACTTGCTTCAAATTTCTTCACTGTAATATTTTCAATGTAAAATCGAGTAATAGAAATACAATTTTTAAGGTGTAATAATAACCAATTTTCAGTTTTTTCTTGTTGCATGTATTGTGACTTCTTATGTCGGGGTCTAATAGTAATTGTTAATCCTTAATTAGTTTATTTTCTACTATATTCAGGTATTTCAATGTCTTTTGTACTTGTTACACTAAGGTTTTTCCATGGTGGAAAAATCTCCATGGATAAGTTACATTCCTTTTCAGTGAAGGATTATGTTGGTGGGATGATTACTGATTGTGTTGATGTCGATGTTGATATTTTCTCATATTTTGAGTTTTTCGGTTATGTAAAAGAGTTTGATTACAATAGTTCTTCTGCTGTTATTTATTTTGGACCACCTAATTGTCCTGGTTTGGTAGTAATTAAGGTTGATAGGGACCTTATGGGTATTTGTGAAGGGTTAAAAAGTGGGAATATTTTGGAGGTATATGTAGATCACATGGTTGATGAAGCTGTAGTGGTCCCCCCTCTATTAGAATATGACAGCCAAGTGGGGGGTGATAGTAATGTTACTTTTGAGAAGGAATCTGGTCAAGATTTGGGGGGCTGTGAGGGTTTGGGAACCTCTGAAAAGGCATCCAATACTGCTGAAAATAGTGCCAATAATAGTGTGCCTACACTTGTTACTACTGATGATAGTTTAAACTCCTCATCTGAATCAATCTCATCTGAATCTAGTAGCAGCACTGATAATAGCTCAGATTCAGATCATGAGGAGTTATTTGAGGAAGGAGAAGGTGATTATGGCAGTGATACACATGAGGAATACAGGGCATTTAGGGCAGAAAGAAGGACTGTAGAGAGGAGGAAGAGGAAAGAAAGTGCTCTTGAACAAGAACATGTTAAACTAGGTAAGAGAGGGCCAGATGTGTGGTATGATGAATATGAATCTAGGAAGAAGAAGAGTTTAGAAGGTAAGATAGGTGGTGATGAGCCTTATTACCACTCAGATGAAGCTGCTAGTTTTGAGACAGATCCAGATGATGTTGATGATGAAGGTGAAGGGGAGGTTCAATAGAAAGTTAAAGCTAGAAGAAGAAAGACTAAAAGAAGAGTAATCTTTGACAAGACTTGTAAGAAAATAGTTTGGGAAACTAGACTTGCATTTGCAAGTGTGAGAGATTTCAGAGAAGCTGTAACTAAATATTTTGTTCAACAAAAGGTTTCTATAGAAAAGTATGTAAATGAACCTACAAGGGTGAGGGTTAAGTGCAAGAAGGCATCCTGTCCTTGGTTTCTAGTTGCTAGTTATGATTCTAGGACTAAGGATTTTGTAGTCAAGAACTACAATCCAGTTCACACCCTACTAACAGAAACAAGCTATGTAATTCAAAGTTCTTGGCCAAAAGGTTCAATGAGAGGATAAAAGAACAACTTAACATTAGAATATTCAAGTTTCAGGAGTTAATTAGAAAGAAATTGGGATTATATGTTGGGAGGACAGTTTGTAGGAGGGCAAAAAATATCGTGTTGAAGGAGATAATGGGTGATCATAAACTGGAGTATGGCAGGATATTAGATTATAGGGATGAGTTGCTTAGATCTAATCCACGGAGTACATGTGTAGTGAAGCTTAGTGAAGAAACTTTTGAAGGTGGGAAGAAAATGTTTGTTGGGTTCTACATTTGTTTTGATGCAATGAAGAAGTCATACTTAGCTGGTTGTAGGCTATGAATTGGATTGGATGAATGTTTTTTAAAAGGGGTATGTAGAGGCCAACTACTGTAACAGTTTGCAAAGACGGAAATAATCAGATGCTTCCACTTGCTTGGGTTGTTGTTGAGATTGAAAATATGTACACTTGGAGGTGGTTTGTCAACCTTTTAAAGGGTGATCTTCAGCTTGGAGATGGTACAAATCTGACCATAATAACAGACATGCAAAAGGTAAGCACTTGTACTTTATTGTTATTTTCCTACTGCTATTTCACTTAAAACTAACTACCATTGTTCATTTTGCAGGGGCTTGAGAATGCTATATCAGATCTGCTTCCAAATTCTGAGCATATGATGTGTGTAAGGCACATCCTAGCTAACTGGTCTAAGAAATGGAGGAGCATAGAGAGAAGGAGCTGCTTCTGGAGGTGTGCAAGGTCTACCTATGAGTGGGAGTTGAAGAAAAATCTGGATGAAATGAAGAAATTGGGAAATAAGATAGTTGATGAATTGTTGTACTACAACATTGAAAGATGAAGTAAGGTGTATTTCAACATATTCTGCAAGTGTGATAGTGTTGACAATAATATAGCAGAATGTTTCAATGCTTGGATTTTGGCAGCAAGGCAGAAGACTATAGTGACAATTCTTGAAGAAATAAGGGTGAAGATGATGAACAGAATAGGTCAGCTCAGAAAGTTTGGAAACACTTGGATTACTGATTTTTCACCAATGGCCATGAAAGTCTTGGAAGAGAACACAGAAAGGTCAATGAAATGTAACATTTTCTGGAATGGTGAGTATGGATTTGAAGTGAAGCAAGGTCAGGTGAAAGTGAAGTGAAGCATCTGGTGGACATCAACAGGCAAACATGCACCTGCAGAGCTTGGATGTTAAAAGGCATACCATGTGCTCATGCAGTTGCTGCCCTGCATTATAAAAAACTGGAGCCTTTGAACTATATTTCTCACTGGTACAGTAATAACACTTACATATAAACATACAGTTACTTTCTTCAGCCTGTCTTGGGTATGAATATGTGGCCAGAGTTAGAAAACCCAACTGTTATACCACCTCATGTCAAGAAGATGCCTGGAATGCCAAAGAAGGTTAGAAGAAAAGAGCCAGGTGAAAATAAGACAGGAAAATTGTCCAAAAGTGGAGTGAAAATGACATGTAGCAATTGTCATAACAAGGGTCATAACAAGAGGGGCTGTCATAAAGCTGCTGGAAGTAATACTGCTGCTACTTCAGCAAGTTCTGTGCCTGCAACTGTTGGTAGTTCAAAGCTACCAAAGCAAAGTACTGGAAGAGGAAGGGGTAGGCCAAAAGGTTCTAAAGAAAAGGTGAAGTTCTTCCCTTTAATGTCTTCTTTCTCTTTTTAAATAATTACCAGATTTTTACTTTTGATTGTTTGATGTAGGATGTTAGTACTAGCACTGATGTAAGAACACAATATAAGAAACCAAGGATGGTTGGGATGGGAGTTTTACACACTCAAAGTGGCTTCAAAATTCAAAATGTAAGTCTAACACAAACTCACATATTTAGGTGAATTCATTGTCTGATTTTCTGTTGGGTTTTGGCAGCCTGGAATGTCATCTACAAACTTTAAGAATGTGAGGTCTTCGGCAGAAGTAACTGGAGATCTAGGCCATCAACCAACACGAGGTGTTAAATAGAAAGGTAAAGAAGCTATGACATCAAGGCAGCTTCAACAATTGAGAGGCAAGAGACTCATTCACACAAGGTCTAGGGCTGCTAAGTTGAGCCAGGAAAGCACCACTGCAAATCAACCCAATTGATGAAGATATTATTTTGTTGATGACTGTATTGCAATAGACTGCATTATGCTAAAATTTTAAGCAACTATAGACTGTAATTCTGTATTTTGATAAGGATTTTTAGGTAGCTATAGACTGCATTTCGCTTTTTGTTACATTTGGTGTCTGTTTTGCTGCTGCTACAATGACAAAAAATAGATGTATTGTTAACTCATTTTGTGACTTGTATGCAACAAATGCATATATGATGTTTTGGTGATCTATGTGTTGTACATGTCAGAAATGTTATGGGATCACAAGGTTGATAGTATGTGTGTTGGCCATGAAATGAAATACTTTGGTTGGTGACAAGGAAACTTAGTACTGTTGTGTGTCTATTGTTGATTGCCAAGTTCTGAAGTTTATGCAGTATGTAATTTACTTCACAATGTAAAAACAACGCTTCTTTAGAAACAACAATTGATAAGCAACAACTACATACATATTGAGATGAGAAATCTACAAAATATTGAGATGACAAAACTACAAAAGGCTTACATTCAAATGAAAGGTCCATTGTAAACATACAAAATAAAACCTACAAGCAACAACTACATTCACATTGAGATGACAAAACTAGATTCACAATGGCAACCTCATTGCATCTTCTTTCAATGAGATTCCTGGATACCCACAAGCAACAAGAATAATACACATCCCCAATATAATTAACCAAAGTACATTTTCCCTAGCCTTTGACTTAGCCAATTTACTCTTCCACTTCTTTTCCTTCTCTTTCATCTTCTCCATATCATCTTGCAATTTCACCAATTGAGCCTCAATCTTCTTCATCTTGTCCTCTTCTATGGTGTTTTCAACCTTTAAAGTTGTCCTCGGCTTGGCAAGATTTTCAAAGCCTTCTAATGCATTTTCAAGTTCACCCATTTTGTCAAGCAATTTTGGAATAACAAATTTGGACCTAGGATCAATTTCGGAATCCTTCCAAACCCAAAAATCACAAGATCGTGGACCCTAAGATGAATAACAAAAGAAAATTACTGAATGATAATTTTTCACAACTCAATTAGTCAAGGAATTTTTATTATCATTTATAGTATGGACAAACCCAATATCTTCTTCCTGGGTTCCGCGGGGTCCAAGTTGTTAACAAAGGTAGCACATAGCCATGGTTGCATTGAATTTCTCCACTAGACTCATTTTCTTCCTCTTCCGTGCAAAGCCTTGTCAAATTCAAGCCTTTTGAAGGCATTGCAACAACTACAACACAAAAAGACAATATCAAAGTCAGATAATTTGCATTTGCTTTCAAAGGTCAGATAATTGGATTTTAGGAGAAATACATAACAATAATAAAAGAAAGAAATTAGGGTTCTTAAGAAGGAGAAAGATTAACCTTTGCCTTCAAAGATTAAAACTTCAAAGGGCAATTTTATGAAATTTCGGCAGAAATTAGAAGAAGAAGAAATTAGGGTTCTTCAATTGGGTTTGGTAAAATATTGGGGAAGAGGGGATTTTACCGTTGGTTGGGGGTTATATTAACGTTAAAAATATATTTCTTTCTTTTTTTGGGTGTTTTCAACGATTAAAAGAGAGTAAGGACGCGCTCAATTCGATTGTCTAACACGCGTGGCTGGCCAGGCTTAGGAGGGAGTAAATAAATACAATTCTTTAATTAATAGTGGGGTGTTAGGACACCGTAAAATTTAGGTGTGTAAATAATTTTCCAAGACAAATTGAATGGGCTCTTTATGCATTTTCTCATTTGAAAATACAAAGGATAGAAAATGAGACGAAAACGAATACACCCTTGATAGAAAAGTGAGAATAGTACAGCTCAAAAGATAAGAGTCTCTTATTGTTTAAGGAAATATTCAGATTAATTCTCTTGAAATTTAGTATAGGGAAAAATATTTAGATTCATGCTTAGCAGAAAATGTCCAAATTCATCCTCTTAAATTAGTATGTATTTATTTCACTTAATGGATTGCTCTAAAATCCCTAGCTATCGGATCATTATGGCAATTACTCATTCATTGTAATATTCTCATTTTTCTTCACCTATATACATATTTTTTCCTTTCGTGAAGTTACTTTAGAAAATCTATTCTTTCTTTCAAATAATATGTTAGGTTTATTTCTATTAAATAATTTTATTGTCTGGATTGGTAAATTATGGGCACTACTCGTGGACAATGCATAAGCTAACACATGACAAGCAATACCTGGTCAGCACCGAAGGATCCCCCTAGATCGAAGAATGAAGAACCATTTGAGAAACTCGTCCCAAATTCGTTTAGCACAACCTCGAAGTAGACCACCCCACTAGCACATCACTCTCTCAAATCAACGTACACCGAAATATCTGTGATTACGCATTAACTCCTCAACGGTTACAATTCACATGCGTCACGTACGGAGCATATTGGTAGTGTTCATAACGGGAAAGCATAATTCTAGGGGTCATTTATATATATTAGGGTTATGTCATAAATACTCTATTCCCCTCATATTGTATCCCATTTGAATTCTACTTTACAAACCTACACTATACTGCAATCGTTAGAGTTTTTTTTTGTAGCAATTATCAGCATTATTATTCATCAGATTTAGTTCATTGGAGCTTCATCAAGAAGAATCTCACTCTTATTCCTTGTTCATTTTATTATTTTATTTACATCATAACTACTGTTACTACTTTTAATCAAGAAAGGGTCTAATCGCTCTTGTGGCCTAGCATATAAATTTAATTGCTTAATTACCTAATCAAATTCTAGGTTAAACATTGTCTCTACTTTTATTTTATGTTAATAGAGCTTATTGAATTTTGAATGATACGATCATCTTGGAGAAGTATCCTTAAGGATAGTGTCTTTGACATACCTCAAGCTACAAGAATTTTTATTTTTTCGGTATTCTTAGAGTTGAAGTTGCCCACCCGAACTATAAAACATACAAATTTTCTCATTCTTTTGCCTATGAAACAAAAGCGAAGAATTCCTCAAATCTGAAAAAATCGCCTCAAGGAAACAAATGTAAATCTTCTAAATAAGAAGTGTGATTGTGTAGAAATATGGAATTTTGACTTATTGCTTTTGCTTTTAATGTTTCAATAGTAGTTTCATTCATCATCACTGACAAATCTCATTAGCTCTGAATCCTTCATTCTTAAAACTGCAAACTAAATGTGTATAATAAATTAAACAAAAAAAGTAAAAAAAATCTCATCCCATGCAAGACATAAACAAAATAAATAAGACAGATCGATTTTTTTTCCATACGACGAATAAAAAATAGAGAAAAAGGTCGTGGTGCGGCAAAATTAAGGGTGTCTAACGGGTGGGCCGGGCCGGGCCGGGCCGGGCTGGGTAGGAAAAATTAGTAACCATACGGGTTGGGGTCCGGGCCGGTTACGGGTTGGAGCTTACCGGGTTTAATGGGTCCGGGTTCATCTGGGTCTTTGTAGATTTATAGTTAAACCCAACTTGTATGAAGTTCTTAGTAGTAAAAATTCAGAATTTTTTTTTTTTTGGAACAAAAAAAAAAAGAACCAAATCCTTGAACTTTTAGGCTCAGTTGAAACAAGACACGAACAAAAAGGAAAGGATATAAATATGTAGATTAGAAAGAGTAAGAAAATCTAGGATCCCCTCTTCTTGTTCCTTTGTTAATTTTTGGAAACAAATTAGATACAAAAGAAATATCCTGGAGAGCAAGCAATTGTATTTTTTTTAAACTGATTTTCGTTTTTCTTTTTGCTTCTGTTTTTTTTTTAATTCTTTTTTTTTTGTTGCTCTTAGTATTCAAGATATCCCAAGAATTATCGAGAACGAAATCTTGATAGAACCGCTCTGATACCACTTGATAACAACTAGGTCGGGAATCCAAACTAGAGTAAGAATTTGAGAAGTAAATGCGGAAGCAATAACAACAAGGAATTGAACAACTAGAATTTTAAAGAGATGAAAAATAAAGGATATGGGAAAATTTCAAGGAAAGAATACCTAGAACGCAAGTTCTATAGTCTTGACAAGATCAAAGTAACAACGTCTTGGTTTATGGAACAAATCAAACGCCTTTACTTAAAAAGCAAACCAAAACAATAGATTCCGATCTTGACCGCTTTACGAGTAACTTGAGACAACAATTAATAACTAGTATTAATCGCCTTCTAAGAATACCACAAAGAAATCAAAGATATCATAAAAGAGAAGTAATCTTACTACCTTGAACTATGAACTAGTAAAGGTTGAAAGATAAATCTCAAAGCACAAGTAACAAAGGTTCAAAAGAACTCTCAAAGTATGATATACTTAATCAATAATGTAGTGTCTTATGAATGAGAAGAACTCCCTATTTATAGGAGTACTAAGGCATAAAAAGTACTTAAAATTAGGTAGGGTGATTGCTAAGTCATTACAATTAGGTAAGGTGATTGCTAAGGCATCCAAAGTCATTACAATTAGGTAGGGGCAGCCAAGACCCTTTGGGGCAGATTTGGGCCTTAAAAAACTAGTTTGGGCTATTGGTTTGAACTCCAATTGGGCTCCTATTGTAACACCTCCTTTTGGACCTCTTTTAAGCTCATTTTGAGCCCATTTGGTGGACATCAAGGGCTGATTTGGGTGACCCAATCTTCCTCCTCTTGGACTATAATTTGATCCACCAAATAATTGTAAAACTTAGACAATTCTTCTCCTTTGGGCTTGAGCACTTCCTCTATAGTTAGAGGCTTCTTTATTTGCCATTGAAGTCCAACAACCTTAGTCTGGAATTCTTTAGCTTGAGATCTTGTGAATGGTCTTCTTGGAGCTTCCAAAACTCTATCCTTATCAGTAATGCTATCACATTCTTTGAAAGTAATATAGTTATTTAGCCAACAGTTTCTTTATATAACATAATATATATGTGAAACAATTGTAGCTTCTACTCTACTGTTTTCCGAATCCTTCTTCCATCTATTTTCTTTTGTTTCTCTTCCTCTTCTTTTCTCTAAGGGACTCTAAATTTAAGAATTGGACATGTAAGCAGGATCCGATGCTTTTGTTGGGTATTCCTACAATACTACTGCAAAAAAGAAGGATTACAACAACAAATGTTTATGGAGTGAGACATCTACCAGAAATCTTCTTTTGTCTTTCTCATGGAAGTAGGAAGAAGAATGTACTATTGCAAATGTATTCTTTATATCTTGTACAATTTTGTTCCTCAAATGAATATACATAGTAGCCTTATTATGTTAATATCTAATCAGCTTGATAGTGTTCTTCCTTTAGTAATCTTGCTAAACAGTTATACAAGTAGGAAATTATCTTTTTAGCGACAAACCTTCTCGGTACAACAATATTGTGGACCCGTGCTACAATGGTGTCGAGCGGGCACCAACCATCTAGTTTTGGTTATAAAAAAATTAAATAAGGGAGATAAGTGTAATATCGTAAACGATAAGGGAAGACATGTAATGGAGCAAAACGTGAGAGGTGATAAGAGATGTTTGTTTATTGACCTGAATGATATGGCAACTAATTTGTACTATTCGCAAATGGAGGACCTCATGTTTGAGGTCAACAAGTTTTTCTAATCTTAGTCTTTATCCAGTTTGAGATGTTGTGCCATCTCAACACTGTTTTATATTTATTTCTTACTTTCACATTCTTTCAGTTATCTATGTGGCATTGCAACGATGATCTTTGTGTGTGATAAGATGAAGTACTCCACAGTTCTTCAAGGAGAGATGCAAAACACTACACAGGTAACTCATGTGATTGCTATTAATATTGAGCTTGTTCCATGAAATTGAATCAAAGAAAATTCCGCTTCTTCTAAAAAATAAGAATTTAACTCCACAATTTTTGATTTATTGGAATTTTAATATAGTATAATACAAATTCCTTTTCAGGATGCTTTTCGCTCTGAAAGAAGGAAGGCAAAGATGCTCAATTTTTAAACTGCGAACGTGAAAACTACAATTGGACTACAATTGGACTTGCCCCCGATTGGAAGGTACCTCGGCATTTTGAATATCTATAATTACGTTGATTCTATAGAATTTAGTGGTTATGTGTGCGCTAAATGAACACTATTTCATACTCAGATCTCCATTAAAGGAAGCTAAGGAAACAGTTGATCGGTGGTATTATGGCAGAAAATAAGTGTCAGATTGGCAGGAACAACGCAAATTTGAAACACGCGAGTTCGGATGTCTTCATGCACTTCTACGATGGGCAGGCTGGTTCCTGTCAGTAAAAAAATGCAACTAGAATTGTAAAAGGTCATATAGAACGAGCTGCTATCAGTACTCCAGTGCAGATCCATCATAATACACTTTTTGCTCTATTTTTTGTGTGTTGCCATCATCGCTCCTCCTTCTAAGAAAAAATTAAGTTGTCATGTATTCCATACTGACTTCTGGAGTTATTGACAAGGAAGTGCAACCGACGTCGTTATGTGTGCCATGTTAGAGATATCAAAGAATGCACGACTAGAGGAGCTCATATAGAACGAGTTGCTATCAGTACTCCAGTGCAGGTCCATCATAATACAGTTTTGCTCTATTTTTTGTGTGTGTTGCCATCATCGCTCCTCCTACTAAGAAAAAATTAAGTTGTCATGTATTCCATACTGACTTCTGGAGTTATTGACAGGGAAGTGCAACCGACGTCGTTATGTGTGCCATGTTAGAGATATCAAAGAATGCACGACTAGAGGAGCTTGGATGGAAATTGCTTTTATAGGTATATCTTACGTTGCCCTTTACTGGACTCGTCTCATTTTAGGAAAAGGAAAAAGTGAAAAAAGGTAGTGAACAGAAGATTGGAAGGAGTATAACTTGGATATGAGAATGGACGGTGTGCGCATAACTATTTGAGTACAATAATATATTTTTTTTTTAAACTTTACGTGTTGCATAAAAATATTACATAAGTGTATGAATCTGAACTCTTTGAATATGTATTTGACTACGTGTAGCCTTTCGTCTCTCATTTAGTCAATAGTGAATATAGGTTCTCTATGATATTTGCATTAAATTTAACATTCTCAACTAACAATACTAATTTAATTTAGTTTGTGGTGCGTTGTTAATTTGGATTGTACAGATGGTGCGTGTTGGTTAGAGTGACTAAATAAACTTTTATTTTTCCCCTCATTGGTTTTCTTAAGTCGTGAAATATGAAAGAAGACACAGGAGATTTGTGTGCAACCAGTAAAGTTCTTAAGGAACTGTGAAGTAGAGCTGATTAACTCTCCCTTACTAGCATCAATAAGGCTTTTGTTAGGGCACGATGCGTCTGTCCAACTACAAGTATGACTTTTTCAGTTTACAATTTTCATTTCACACTATTTTCAAATTCATATATATATATATATGACCAATTTTACCTTAACATTACTAAAAAGATCTTTTCACTTCTCTGTAAAGTTTTTGTCCTACCTATAAGGTTTACCCTCTTTTCTAAGTACTGTTACTTTATCACATTTCTGTAAAAGTCATTAGTTATATTTGTATGAATTAGTCATCATGTTGGATTTATTAGTTGTTGTTTTTGACTTGAGACTCGAATGCTATTGTATGTAACGACAAGCTTCCTATTTCTTCAGTTCTAAACTGTTCAACGGCAATATGGCATATTTGTTAAATTAGTGTAGGGCTTTGATTTAGTACATCCAATTTCGTTCTAGCTAAGGGAAGTATTTGTATTCTGGAAGAAAAAAAGAAAATAAAATATTTGTACATTTCTTTCCTTTGCTCCATTGAATACAACGTTGGCGTTTTCTACGCTACAATGCAGAGACTTCATTTAGCTTTTCCAGGAGTTTTTGTTTTGGAATTTTTCAGTCAATAATTTGATTATTACTACAAAAGAAGAAGCTTATGACTGAAGAGTAGTAAAAATCCATAAGGTAAAGTATCTTAGTAAGGTTATTTCATTACTTAGTTCTGTTTGTGCGCTTTTCATTAAGGTAACCCCAGTATTTAGTTGTGTGTTTAAGTAGTTAAACATATGGGGATTTATGCAGGGTTTACTTAACATAAAATTATACTGCGTGCAATAAAGAAAGCTGCTCGGGATGAGTATGCTGACTCGCAAGACGATAAAGATGAATAAGATGACAACGAGGAAGGAGAAAGACAAGGATGACATGAGGGCCAATCAGAAGGCATTCTAACATACCTGAACATAAACATATGAGGATTTATGCAGGGTTTTCAATCTTTCTATTGCGAATGTTTGACATACCTTCACTTGACATTTCTGGATAGCATGCCACATTTTGGTCTCTATGGAGTGTAGCTAAGGCTCTTTGCATAACCGAGTCTGTTCTTGGTAATTAAAACTGTACCACACCTTGCTGTATCAATCAAGGTCTTGTATTTGAGTCACTGGTTTTAACTGTATTCGTCTGTTTCGCCATCCAAATGCATTCAGTCTGCATTCACATTTACTCTGTTAACAAATTCAGCTGATTGTTTTCTACATCTCTTAAAGCTTTGTTGCTTCTGACAAACCATTTTTGCTTTTGGACTAAAAGCAATATTGATAACTTTCTGCGTTATAGCTAATTAAGAATTTATATGATGCACAAATGTTCCCAAGTATCTTTCCCCTCAAGGATAATGATAATGGTGTATTATACTGTAACGACCCGACCAGTCGTTTTGAGCTCTAGCGCATCGTTCAGCGGTTTGAAGTCATGAGCAGCTTCATTTCAGGTTTTATGACTCGTAGGCGTGGTCGGAGTTGAATTCCGGGAAGTTCGGAGTCAAATTAGAAAGAAAAATTCTCATTTCAGAAGCCTTAAGTTGGAAGAATCGACTAAGATTGGATTTCAGAGTAAACGACCTCAGAATCGGGATCTGAAGGTTCCAGTAGGTTCTATGGTGATTTCGAACTTGGGCGTATGTCCGGATCGGGTTTTGAAAAATCCGGGAACGTTTTGGCGCATATTGTGGAAGTTAGCATTTTTGATGAATTTCATAAGTCTGGGTTGAAGTTATTTCAGTGATATTGATGTCCGTTTGGGATTTCGAGTCTAGGAATAGCTCCGTATGGTGATTCTGGAGTTGGGAGCGCGATCGGAAGTGAATTCGGAGGTCCGTAGGTCATTTTGAAGTCATTTGGCTAAAGATAGAAATTTGAAGGTTTTTGAGAAGTTTGACTGAGAGTTTGACTTTTTGATATCGGGGTCGGATTCCAATTCCGAAAGTTGGAGCAAGTCCGTAATGTCGAATATGACGTGTGTGCAAAATTTCAGGTCATTCGGACGAGGTTTGATAGACTTTTTGATCGAATTCGGAATTCGAAAGTTTTGGATTTCTTAGGCTTGAATCCGAAGGTGATTCGATGTTTTGATGTTGTTTTGAGCATTCCGAAGGTTAGAACAAGTTTGAATGATG